ATACTAGTTTGTGAACGTCCGTGCAAGTTTCAGAGTTAGAGTTAATAACATACTAGTTTGTGAACGTCCGTGCAAGTTTCAGAGTTAGAGTTAATAACATACTAGTTTGTGAACGTCCGTGCAAGTTTCAGAGTTAGAGTTAATAACATACTAGTTTGTGAACGTCCGTGCAAGTTTCAGAGTTAGAGTTAATAACATACTAGTTTTATTTTACGACTAACCGACTTCTTTTTTTTTATTATTTTAATCAGTTTACATCCAAAATTAATTTAATATGTTTTGAATAAACTTAAAGGTATTCTTAAATTGTCGTAAAATCTTCGAATACGCATAGGTTTTCATAGTACATTTCACTTATCAAATTTGGCAACCAATTTTTTTATGTATTTATTGGTTTATAAAATTATGTATGAATTTCAACGTTCGACAACTTTTCGATCAAATTACAAATATCAATTTGACAGGTATTATTCCCCCTTTTCAACAATAAAGAGTACAACGCCATCTATGTTAAGTTCTAGAACTAAAAGTATTAATCTTTAAGATGAGAAGTATTAATATCACATCCGAATATGTTCTAATTCCGATAGATCCAATGTTATTTACGTCATGTTCTGAAAAAAAATGAGTTTTACAGGATATCAATGACAGCTCATAGAAGTAATCAATATTTTTTATACGTTTTGTAGATAAAGATATAATTTTTAAAAAATTGAAGTACCTCATTAATGTGAAGTACTTCATTAATGTGATCGGTTAAAATGTTTAAAATACGTTTGAACATTATTAGTAGTAGAAGTTTCTTGAATATTTAAACATATGCATGATTAATTGGATATACTACTTTGTTCAGAAAAATCTAAAAACTGAAATCTCTTAATCTGCTTGAAACTCACGTACTGCTGAGAACAGCGTAGATAGCCAAGCTACTCAACTGAGTAAATGTATTTTAATATTAATAAATTTGAGCTAAATTGTATATTTATTTCTGCCATTCTTAACTTCTAGTAGCTTAGTTTTATAGAATGGCCTTATATAATTGATCAGATGCTTTGAATACTGATAGAGAAAATTGTTTGTTTTTTTTCATATTAGAAGTTATTGATAATCAAGAAGAGAATAGTTAATACCAAATTCCAGAAGATTCTTAAATATTGTTTTTTTGGGGGGGGGGATAACATTAACATCTCTTGGATAAATTAGTTCCAGCTTTTGATATACAATTTGTATCTATCGGCATTCCTTTTGCTGAGACTACCGTTATGGCTTCTGATCTGATCGTAGAAGAGACGAGTGAAGTCCCACTATTAAATTAGACTAGCTTAAGCGTTGGAAGCTGTTGAGAAGTAGTTGTCTTCTGCCTAGTGTATCACTTCAAAATCAGGGATGGCTAGTGCAGGTAAACTGTTGTTGTTGTTCGTCATGAAGCACAAAGCTACACAAAGGGCTATGATCTGCCCACTACGGGTATCGAAACCCGGTTTCTAGCAGTATAAGTCAGCAGACATATCGCTGCGCTACTTGAGGGGGGCAAAACCAAAAATTGGAAGAGTTTATACTTTCGTGTATAATTACATTTTTATTGATTTCCTTTATTTTATATTTGAAGCCTCAAATCACTGATAGTTTAATGATTACGCCCACTTCGATTAAAACATTATCGATTTGTTCGTATGTCGTACGCAGCCATTCGGCTAAACCTTGTGCAACATTAACAAAGGATATTAACATTAATATCATATATATTAATATATGATATTAATATATGTAATCGGTTTTTAAAGGACAAATAATTAGTTCGTGATTATTGCATGAAACAAAAATCTAGTTTTTCGCGTCTTGTAAGTAAGTTATCTTTTTTAATGTTAGTTGCATTAACAAGACTGGAGAAATTCTTGAACTTATTATGTTTCATCTATTTACTGTCTATATATTTAGATATTTTTTCTGCACTGATATAGTATCTCCCCCCCCCCCATTGGCTCAACGGTAACTCTTTAACTCTAAGGATTAACGCTTTTAAAAACAGGCTTTAATACTCGTGGTGAGCTTAACAACAAAGAAAAGAAGCGGGTTAACTTAATCTCCTAATCTATCTTAAGTTTGTGAGGTATTATTTGGTTTGTTTGTTTTATTGGATTTGATGCCAAGTTATACCGAGGATATCTACGCTAACCATACCCATGTTTGAAGTGATAAACTAGAAAAAAAACAGCTAGTCAACACCACCCACCGCCAAATCTTGGGTTACTCTTATCAGACTGATTAATGCATCCATGTCCTCAAAATGTGAAACACGAATTTATATGGCGTAACGTGACGCAACATTAGCCCCACAGTCCGGTAGAGTAACCATGGGTCGCGCACAACCACGATATCATTGGTACGGTGACCTAAAATTTTGAATAATAGCGATGGTGCATCATGCTTTCTAATCATTACTAGTTTTGGTTTTATGACATTGTATACTTCTATTTAGACTGATATATTATGCTAAAAAAAAAATATCAATATATTTTCCTGTAAACCTATGTTATTAAATTAGAGTGAATTTTTTTTTGAAATATCCGAGTTTTGGCCTTCGATCATCAGTCGACAAAGGTTAAAAGAACGAATTTTACATCAGGTGCTAACTTCCTATTTCCACATGTCTGAACCGACTCCATCAAACAGCCCGACAACAAGTACAAAACATTTCGGACTTATTCTCTAAATCTCCCCCCCCCCAAAAAAAGTCTATCTTTTGTCTATATTTTTCATAAGATTTGGCCTAGTAAAAGATCATGAAAAGGTCTGGTTCGTGAATATAGATTGTTTACTTACGCGATTTTTAACAGAATAAAGCCGATATACTGATACCTGTCAAATAATAATTCATATCCGATTTAATATTATTTTGATGTACACAGCGCTTTCACTAAATTCACTAACACGTGACCATGTGACGTGTTAGAGTAAGATTATTTTGTGTTTGCTTGCTAGATTTAATCTTGAACGTGCAGCAAGGAACAATTTCCTGTCATGTGACGTGTTAGTGTAAGATTATTTTGTGTTTGCTTACTAGATTCAATCTTGAACGTGTAGCAAGGGACAATTTTCCTGTCATGTGACGTGTTAGAGTAAGATTATTTTGTGTTTGCTTGCTAGATTTAATCTTGAACGAGTAGCAAGGAACAATTTTCCTGTCATGTGACGTGTTAGAGTAAGATTATTTTGTGTTTGCTTGCTAGATTCAATCTTGAACGTGTAGCAGGGAACAATTTTCCTGTCATGTGACGTGTTACAGTAAGTTTATTTTGTGTTTGCTTGCTAGATTTAATCTTGAACGTGTAGCAATGAACAATCTTCCTGTCATGTGACGTGTTACAGTAAGATTATTTTGTTTTGTTTACGAAATTCTCTACACAATTATATAGTAAGTTGATATGCTAGAGATCATTAAGGTTCAATGTGCCGTTACATTTGTTTATCTACAGCTTACGTATAAGTTTCAGGATTCGTAGACATATCGTGCGATACGAGACGTTTCACAGTGTGGGATAAATGATATGTATCGTGACATGTAATTATCTGATGTCGCAACCGTGCATTTCTTGGGGACATGTCCGATAAAATATAGCGTAGCGATCATCAAATGTTTTCTATAACATTTCATGAGGAACATCACAAAACATGTTTTTTCGCATGCACACATATTAAGTCTAATTAGTGTGCA